ATCACCTCTACCACAAGTTCTGATTCCTTTTGCCTGTAGACCAGTATGGCTACAACCTGTATCCCTCAACCTGATAGGCAGCCAAGTGATTCTTCATTTCTGGATGAACCCAGAGGCAGATTATGGGGTGATGGTGCCATTGTCACCCTGGTCAGAGCATGGGGGGAGGCGTCCATGCAGGAGAATAGAAGATTAATTCATGTCAGGCTGGGTGGACCACAATATCTGGCATGTAACACCTGGCATCCAAAGAAACACATTACACCCAAGTGCTAAAAAATTTGCACGTTACACCCAAGTACCCGCCTTCTCACAGCACAGAATGCAAAGCGACTTCTGGTGGACAAAGGGGCTCACTACACAAAAGTTGCAGTGGCATCTGGTGGACAAAGGGGCTCATTACACATCATTGAGTGCATTTCTGTTTTCACATGACGGATCCATTAGACGCATCATTTTAATTCCTGGTGATCCAAAGTAAAATACATTGGGATGTGTTTTACTTTGAATCACCAAAAAGACATTTAAATTGCCAGAAAAACCTGTACGTAAAACCTGTAACAGTTCAATTGAAAAAAAAAAGGCAATTTTTGTCATGTGTACAAGCACCCATAGAAGCTACCTTTAAACTGATTTAAGTGCCACATACAGAATTTGCACTTATTTTAAGAATCCAAATACCCCAGAGTAACCTGCTACAATACAAAAAGAACTCCCCACACTCGCACAACCTTGGGGGTCAGGTCATCAACCACCTAGGGGACTATGAGTTCAACAATTCAACAGCCAGATGGGTGGGAAACTGGCTGCAGGGTTGGACCCAGAGAATACTGATAGATAGATCTGTGTCGACTTGGTGGAAGGTAGCCAATGAGGTCCCCCAGGGTTTGGTACTTGCAAACTTTTCATTTGCCCTTCAGTTAGACAGAGCAAATGGCACCTGTCTTCTCAAAGCACTGGCTGCAAACAGCTAGTCTACTGCACTTTTAGCATCTAATGTAGACGGGCCCACTGTAACCTTATCTGATTCCTGAAATTCTCCCTACACACTAAAGGTAATAATAACTCTCCTACCTTTTGATAGGATTTCATAGATTTCATAGACATCAGGGCTGGAAGGGACCTCGGAAGATCATCGAGTCCAGCCCCCCGCCCAAAGGGCAGGAAGTCAGCTGGGGTCATAGGATCCCAGCAAGATAAGCATCCAGTTTCATCTTGAAGGTGTTCAATGAAGGCGCTTGAACCACCTCCGGTGGCAGGCTGTTCCAGACCTTGGGGGCTCGGACAGTAAAGAAGTTCTTCCTTATGTCCAGCCTGAAACGATCTTGAAGTAGTTTGTGACCATTCGACCTCGTCATCCCTTGGGGCGCTCTGGTGAACAAACGTTCCCCCAGATGCTGGTGGTCACCCCTGATAAACTTGTAGGTGGCCATCAGATCACCCCTGAGCCTGCGCTTTTTCAGGCTAAAGAGCCCCAGGGCTCTCAGCCTGTCATCGTAGGGTCTGCTTCCCCGAACTCTGATCATGCGCGTGGCTCTTCTCTGGACTCTCTCAAGCTTCTCCACATCCTTTTTGAATTGTGGAGCCCAAAACTGGACACAGTACTCCAGCTGCGGCCTCACTAAGGCCGAGTACAGGGGGAGAATGACGTCCCGGGATTTGCTTGAGAGACGTCCCGGGATTTGCTTGAGACGTCCCGGGATTTGCTTGAGATCATCGAGTCTGACCCCCTGCATAGGCAGG